AACTTGGTTATTAGTTGTCTGGGTCCTTTAAGAATTACTTCTCCCTGCAGCTCTTCAAATTTAGCCCTGATGTTGGCCAGGTCGCCCTTGTGGTTTGGTGTCAGGCGTGAGACTTATGTTTTACCGCTAGGGGGTCCAGGCCTTTTGTGGCCCCCAGAGCTACCTGTCCACCTGGGTGTGGAGGCTGAGCTAAGAGGGGAGACAGGATGCTGCAGGAGAGCGTGGCCTGGAAGCCTCTTTCCTGCCCCCGCAACGAAGGCACTCTCGCCTCACGGTCTAGCTGCGCCTCCCCAGCTTGGAGGGAATAAGCACAGAGCCACCACTTCATGGGGAAAACAGAGCAATAAAGATAAACAGGACAAGAGGTTTCGTGGCTTCAGGAAGCCCCAGGAGAGCTCCCGGCCACCCTCCCTCATCCGATGATGGCTGCAGGGGGTTGACGGAGGGGTCGCGTCATCTGCTGATGGCAGCCCGCCCCTGCTCGGCAAGGCAACTCCCAGCTCCCCAGGGCCCCGGGTCCCCACCCGGAGTGGTGCTCGGCGTCCTGCACTCTGCACGTTACGGACTGTCCCTGGTGGGGAGGGGCGTAGACACCAGCCTCGCAGGGAACTGGGGCTGTTTACTCTGGAAGAGAGAAGAGTCTGAGGTCAAAGGAAGCCATCTTCCAATGTCTGAAGTTCTCTGTAGGAAGATTTCAACCCAAGCGATCTGACCTCAAAAGAAGGAATAATGTCCGAGTGTGTGGAAGGTTGTGGAAGACGAGTCAGCAACGCCAAACCGCGGGGACGCTCACCTGACACAGGGACCGTTTGTGTGTAGCCGGGGCGGGGGAATTGAAGCGTCAGGCGGTGCCGTTCTGATGTCTTCTGAGGTCCTTCCATCCAGAGGCTCCACGATCCTAGATCAAGGCAGGTCTCCTGCCACCACGGCCAGTGTCTGCAGTGAAGCGGACAGAGGCACGTGCAGGCTGGGGAGGGGACGGGGTCGGGGGAGGGAGAAGAGTGTCTTGTGGTTGGGACTAGCGGTGTGAGCCACTGCGCTGGGGATCGGACTGTTCCTGCTCATGGGCTTTCTGACTCGGGTACAGTCACCAATTTGCGAGGTAGGAGCCAGCCCAGGGGACACCGATGCTCTAGGGCAAGGCTGGGCACAGTCCGGCGGTGTGGGCTCTCCCCTCCTGGTCCCGCACAGCCTGCTGCCATTCCCCGATGAGGCGCCTGGAGAACACAACCCACGTCGCCTCAAGACAGTCCTTTCTCAGTCATCCTGCTCTCAAGTGGACTCTACCTTCCCTAAGGGGCAGCACTGACCGAGGCCGCATCGTGCCTTCTCACTGCATCTCATATCTACCACCTAAACACTGGCTTGTCACGGGGTGGGACTCAGTCCTAACTGCCCACCTGTCCTCTGGTGGGGAGAGCTCAGACAGTCAGCCTGGGCACAGCCGACCTTCCTCGGTGCCTCTGGAAGGTGGCGTCTGGGGGTAATGTTTAATTGCATTAGCGATGAACCTGATAAGAGATTGAGGAACACTTCCAACACTCATTACAGTGAATTATCCGATTATGTGGGTTAAGTGATTGTTCAGCATTGGATCAGATTAGCCTCTTGTCACACCTCTGAGTGTGCAAGCACCCCCAC